AATAGATGTTAGCTCAGAGCCAGTCTTCCTCAGCAAAAAGTGGAGGATTAGCATGGATGTTAGCTCAGGGCTGATCTTCCTCACACACACACACAAAAATATATATATATATACTACAAAGCTATAATAATCAAAACAACATGGTGCTGGTACAAAAATAGACATACAGATCAATGGAACAGAATTGAATGCCCAGAAATAAAACCACACGTCTACAGACAGTTAATCTTCAACAAGGGAGCTAAGAACATACAATGGAGAAAGGAAAGTCTCTTCAATAAATGGTGCTGGGAAAACTGGACAGCCACATGCAAAAGAATGAAAGTAGGCCATTATCTTTTGCCGTACACAAAAATTAACTCAAAATGGATCAAAGACTTGAAGGTGAGACCTGAAACTATATAACTCCTAGAAGAAAATGTAGGCAGAATGCTCTTTGACATTGGTCTTAGAGGGATCTTTTTGAGTTCCATGTCTACTCGGATAAGGGAAACAAAAGAAAAAAACAAGTGGGACTTCATCAGACTAAAGAGCTTCTGGAAGGCAAAGGAAACCAGGATCACAATGAAAAGACGACCCACCAGCTGGGAGAAGATATTTACAAATCATATATCTGAGAAGAGGTTACTCTCCGTAATATATAAAGAACTCACACAAGTGAACAACAAAAGAACCCGATTGAAAAAATGGGCAGAGGATATGAATAGAGATTTTTCCAAGGAAGATATGCAGATGGCCAATAGGCACATGAAATCATCAGGGAAATGCAAATCGAAACTACACTAAGATATCACCTTACACCTGTGAGAATGGCTATAATCACCAAAACAAAAAATAACAAATGTTGGAGAGGATGTGGAGAAAAGGGAACCCTCCTTCACTGCTGGTGGGAATGCAAACTGGTGCAGCCTCTATGGAAAACAGTATGGAGATTCCTCAAAGAATTAAAAATAGAAATACCTTATGATCCAGCTGTCCCACTTCTGGGTATTTATCCAAAGAACTTAAAATCAACAATCCAAAGAGGCTTATGTACCCCTATGTTCATTGCAGCATTATTCACTATAGGCAAGAAGTGGAAGCAACCCAAGCATCCCTCGACAGATGGTTGGATCAAGAAGATGTGGTATATGTATACAATGGAATACTACTCAGCCATAAAAAAGACAAAATTGCCCCATTTGCAACAACGTGGATAGACCTGGAGGGTATTATGTTAAGTGAAATAAGCCAGACAGAGAAAGACAAGCACTGTATGACTTCACTCATATGTAGAATATAAACTAACACATGGACAGAGAGAACAGTTTGGTGGTTACCAGGAGGAAGAGAGTTGGGGGGTGGGCACAAGGGGTGAAGGAGCATATTTAGTTGGTGACTGACAGATAATAATGTACACCTGGAATCGCACAATGTTATAAACTATTATGACACCAAAAAAAAAAAAAAGTAAAAAGTGGGATACTGTCCACCTCATTCTATGAGGCCAGTACTACCTGATACCAAAACCATACAAAGACATCACAATAAAAGATGACTACAGACCAGTATCTCATGACTATAGAAGCAAAAATCCTCAACTAAATATTAGCAAATCAAATCCAGCAGTATATAAAAAGGATTGTACACTAAGTGAGAGTTATCCCATGAATGCAAGGTTAGTTCAACATACAAAAATCAATTAAAGTAATATATATATCAGCAGAATAAAGAGCAAAATCCACATGATCATCCCAATAGATGCAGGAAAAGCATTTGACAAAATTCACTGCTTTATGATAAAAAATAAGAAACTAGGAAAAGAAGGGTACTTCCTCAACATGATGGGGGGCATCTGTGAAAAACCCACAAATTCTCTCTTGCTTTCCCCTTCAGATCAAGAACAAGACAAGGGTCTACTTTCATTTTTTTGCATATGGCTATCCAGTTTTCCCAACACCATTTGTTGAAGAGACTTTCTTTTCCCCATTGTATGTTCTTGGCTCCTCTGTCAAAGATTAGCTGTCCATAGATGTGTGGGTTTATTTCTGGGCTTTCGATTCTATTCCATTGATCTGTGTGT